CACAGTGCCCGGCTATTTTTTGGTTGCAGCTGTTATTGTTGTTTTGGCAGGCCTGGGCTGGATTCAAACCCGCCACCTTAGGTGTATGTGGCTAGCACCATAGCCACTTGAGCCACAGGCACTGCACTGAGAAATTATTGATAATAAATATATATATATACATATATATATATATATTTCAAAATAGAATAGGAACATATTTAAAAAATGGACAATGTGCCACCTTTTATTCTCCAATTTCACTCCTATTAGGTAACCAATATTAACCTTTTGATATATATCCTACATCTTTCCACTTATTTACTTAATTATTTTTATTTTTTATTTTTGAGATAGTTTCACTTTGTTGCCCTTGGTAGAGTGCTATGTCATCATAGTTCATGGCAACCTCAAACTCTTAGGCTTAAGTAATTCTCTTGCCTCAGCCTCCCACTAGCTGGGACTGCAGGTACCTACCACAATGCTTGGCTATTTTTAGAGATGGGGTCTTACTCTTGCTCAGGCTGGTCTCTAACTTCCTGAGCTCAAGCAATCCACCTATCTTGACCTCCCAGCGTGCTAGGATTACCTGTGTGAGCCATGTTACCTAGCCTTTTTTTTTTTTTTTGAGTCATAGTCTCACTTTGTCACCCTCAGTAGAGGCTGTGACATCATAGCTCACAGCAACCTCAAACTCTTGGGTTCAAGCGATCCTCTTGCCTCAGCCTCCCAAGTAGCTGGGAAAAGAGGTGCCCACCACAATGCCCTAGAGACGGGGTATCCCTCTGGCTCAGGCTAGTCTCAAACTCGTGAGCTCAAGCAATCCACCCACCTCGGGATCCCAGAGTGCTAGGATTACAGGCATGAGCCACGGTGCCAGGCCAGTGGCACTTTATTATTTTTATTTTTTTTTTATGCATACATGTGTTTTTTAGGTTTCCACTTTTTGCCTTCACAAAATTAAAAAAGTTTAAAATTTAATAACAATAACAATGTTTAAGATAAGGACTAGAAACAAAAACCTCGTAAAGAACAAACTAAGATTTGTTCATTCAGAAAAAAAATCAGACAATTGCTGCATCAAAATATTAAGCCAAATAGCACTTTAAAATACAACAAAACAAATAAACAACTTTACTCTGACCTGATAATGATATCATAGAAATGCATTTTGTTTTCCCTCTCTTTGTTTAAAGCTGCTAGGAGATCAGTGAAAGTGCCTGAATCATTCAACTCCTTAATGGTATCTGCAATCACATCACTGAAAAATTGCCTGTGAAGAGGAACAAAAGAGTTAATAAAATATATTTCCTACATTCACAAAAGCCTACAGAAGTCATCTAAGTTAAGACTGAGAGGGAACATCACAACTCAATTGTAATTATCCCAGGAATGCAAAAATAGTTTTGCAAAAACTATTCCTGTAATTATCCGAGGAATGCAAAAATAGTTTCACATTAGAAAATCTAAAATAGGCTCCATGCCTGTGGCTCAAGTGGCTAAGGCACCAGCCACATACACCTAA